CAGTGAGTCCCAGTAATACCAGTGACCTCCCAGTAACCTCCCAGTAACACCAGTGACCTCCAGTGAGTCCCAGTAACACCAGTGACGTCCCCAGTAACCTCCCAGTGACCCCCAGCGAGTCCCAGTAATACCAGTGACACCAGTAACCTCCCCAGTAACACCAGTGACCCCCAGTGACCTCCCAGTGACCTCCCAGTGACACCAGTGACCCCTCACTGACCCCCCCCCAGTAACACCAGTGACCTCCCAGTGACACCAGTGACCTCCCAGTGACCTCCAGTAACACCAGTGACCTCCAGTGAGTCCCAGTAATACCAGTGACACCAGTAACCTCCCAGTGACCTCCCAGTGAGTCCCAGTAACACCAGTAACCTCCCAGTGACCTCCCAGTGACCTCCCAGTGACACCAGTGACCCCTCACTGACCCCCCCCCAGTAACACCAGTGACCTCCCAGTGAGTCCCAGTAACACCAGTGACCTCCCCAGTAACCTCCCCAGTAACCTCCCAGTGACCCCCCAGTGAGTCCCAGTAACACCAGTGACCTCCCAGTGAGTCCCAGTAACACCAGTGACCCCTCATTGACCCCCCCAGTAACACCAGTGACCTCCCAGTGAGTCCCAGTAACACCAGTGATCTCCCAGTGACTCCCAGTGACACCAGTGACCCCACACTGACCCCCCCAGTAACACCAGTGACCTCCCAGTGAGTCCCAGTAACACCAGTGACCTCCCAGTGAGTCCCAGTAACACCAGTGACCTCCCAGTGAGTCCCAGTAACACCAGTGACCCCCAGTGAGTCCCAGTAACACCAGTGACCCCCAGTGAGTCCCAGTAACACCAGTAACCTCCCCAGTAACCTCCCAGTAACACCAGTGACCCCCAGTGACCTCCCAGTGACTCCCAGTAACACCAGTGACCTCCCAGCGAGTCCCAGTGAGTCCCAGTAACACCAGTGACCTCCCAGTGACCCCCCCAGTGATACCAGTGACCTCCTAGTGACCGCCCAGTGACTCCCAGTAACACCAGTGACCCCCCCAGTGTCCTCCCAGTGACACCAGTAACCCCCAGTAACACCAGTAAGTCCCAGTGACCTCCCAGTAACACCAGTGTCCCCCCAGTGACCTCCCACTGACTCCCCCAGTAACCTCCCAGTGACTCCCAGTAACACCAGTGACCTCAAGTGTCCTCCCAGTCCCTCCCAGTTCCCTCCCAGTCCCTCCCAGTCCCCTCCCAGTCTATTCCCAGTCTATGCCCAGTTTATCCCAGTCCCTCCCAGTTCCCTCCCAGT